ATGGTTATTTGCAATAATAAGTAAGTATTTATTTGAGGTAATATAGACCCACAATATGCTCAACAAAATCAAACTCTAATGAATTCAAAATGTGATCCTATAACACACAAAGTGATGGCGTAATTTGAACCAAACATAGAGTGAACCACACTATTAAAACACATGCATATCAACTTAATTAGTACAGAGAGGTAAGGGTTGATGCTCTCTCATAAATCACATAGTGATTTAGCTTAATTTATCTTGCCTTGTCAATTAAGCATGGAATGGTGGCACTCACAAGGTCTTTAATTTTTTGTGGTAGCTTATTTTGAATGATGATGTTCCACTCCCCATAAGTGGCACAATGACTTACTCTTTGAGTTTCTTCTTATTCAATAGTATGCTCATGAGAAATTTGAAATCATATGTAATTAAAAAAAAATGGCTTAGCGATTAAATAGCATGCTGATTTCATGTTTTTAAAGAACTGCCAAAAACTTTCGCAATTTTCATTATGACCCTTTTTTTCTTATATCTTTGATGGTAAGGGTTTGACAGAACATAGTTAGGAAAAATGGTGTCCTAGGGCTTTTGTCACCATTGTTTATCTTTCCTTGGCCTAAGGTACCATCTCTAACTGCTTTGGGCTTTCAGTTCACCATCCAATTCTTAAAGTGATGGCTATGACGCTCTCCCGTGAATTACTTTCATCATGGTAGGGAACCTCTTTATTCCCTTGTGCTCCTCTCTTGAGCAAGATGCCCAATTTGTACTACAAGCTTGTGGATGGAGCTTTTGGTGTATTGTTCAAAGTTGAAAATTCCTTGATTGAGCTTTTGGTTTTGATCTTTGAATATAAAATCAAGCTTAGCGAATTGAGAATGGAGGTTCCCAATGAATGCTTCAATCTGGCCCTGTCTTCATTATGAGCTTTCATGGTAGCAACATTCTTTGTGAGGACTTTTCGTGTTTTCTCTAGTTTGGTTTATTTTGCTACCCATAGCCCGTCGGCCCCAAAAACATTAGAACTAAGGCTTGGGTGTTGTAGTAGTTGACTGCTCATAGCCCTTTAAAAAGGCTTTTTTTTACCAATATTACTAATTGGGCCGTATTTGACCTAAAAGTGACTTTAAATAGAAAATTCCAAAAATATGACTTTAGCGTATGGTAGTCTGGCTTTTTGAAAGGAAATAACTTCCTTTTTGGATTCGATTTTAACAATTGGTTATATCAGATACGTTGGTTGCGACACGTCACTAAGAAGCTGTTCTGTTCGTCTTATTCTTATTACTTGTTGCTTATTCTTACTTTATTCAAATCATATCAGATCAGAAAAATTCAGATCAGATCAGAAAGATTCAGGTCAGATCAGATCAGAATCATTCAGACCAGATCGGAAAGATTCAGATCAGATCAGAAGCATTCAGATCAGATCAGATCAGAAAATTTCAAACATGATTTATCACTTTTATTATTATAAAATAATAATAATAATAATAATAATAATAATAATAACAATAATTATTATTATGATTATTAATATTATGATTATTTTTGAGGTGATTATTATTATTATTATTACTCCATATTATTATAATTATTATTGTTATTGTTGTTGTTGTTGTTGTTATTATCACCATTATTTTTTATTTATTTTTATTATTATACAGAGTAATCATAATTATAATTATAGCTACAATTATAATCGTTGTAGCAGGTATAATTTTTTATAGGGAAAACAGTCAAATAGGTCCTCGAACTTTCATAAAAAGGTCAATTAAGTCCTTCTATAGGAGGTTCTGTCCGGCCGTCGCGATTTGGGGCAGTTCCCGGTGGAATTTTTCGATGAAATTTTTTGAGCATTTTATTCACCAAGTCTAGTTTACTCATACCAAATTTCAGCTAAAAATTCAATCGGGAACAAATTCAAATTAATTCTTGAAGATAACTGCACATTTTTGCTTTCTCGAATTAATTTGAATGCGCTCCCGATTGAATTTTTAGTTTAAATTTGGTATGAGTAAACTAGACTTGATAAATAAGATGCTCAAAAAATTTCATCAAAAAATTCCATCGGGAACCGCCCCAAATCGCGACGACCGGACAGAGTCTCCTATAGAAGGACTTAATTGACTTTTTTATGAAAGTTCGAGGACCTATTTGACAGTTTTCCCTTTTTTATAACTTTAATTATAATTATAATTAAATTTTTTTAGAATTATGACTATAATTATAAATTATATTTAAATTATATTTATAATTACAATTATTATTATAATTAAAGAAATATTCAAATCAGATTAGAAAGATTCAGATCAGATCAGAAGGATTCAGATCAGAAAGATTCAGATTAGATCAGACCAGATCAGAAAGATTCAGTTCAGATAAAAAAGATTCAGATCAGATCAGAAAGATTCAGATCAGATCGGAAAAATTCAGATAAGATCAGAAAAATTCTGTCACGCCCCGGACCTTCCCGGACACGTCAACAACCCGCCGTACAGTACGAATAGTCAACCGCAGTCCAACACATCCATACTATACAAGGCGTCTGGAATATCATTCACACATAGTACATCCATAAACAAACATAATGTAAAATATTCATTTAAAGCAGCGGAAACATTTAATACAAGCGTTCATGCCACACCTTGGCAAACATGGGCATACAAGCCCCCAAATAAATATTTAAAAAAAGTAATATCCATGAGCATTATTTAAATTGTTTTCAAAACAGAAACAGGAGAAGCACGAACCCCGCCTTCCTCCTTGAATTCCCCGAAGCAACGAGCGGTAGTAGCGAGCTCTACTCCCTACCTGAAACTGTGAGGTGGCCTCCCCCGTGAAGGGGAGGTCAGTACTTGGAAGCATTTGACAAGTACAATGACAACTATACTAAGTATAATCAAAGTTTCAATTTCCAAGACCCTCAATCCAAGATGTTATTCATTTGTAATTAACTCATGTTCTCCATGCTAGAGCTCGGCTCATAGTCATATCAATTTGTGCTAGAGCTCGGCTCATAGTCACTCTACGTTGCTAGAGCTCGGCTCATAGTCATACTAATTTGTGCTAGAGCTCGGCTCATAGTCACCCTACGTTTGCTAGAGCTCGGCTCATAGTCATACTAATTTGTGCTAGAGCTCGGCTCATAGTCACCCTACGTTTGCTAGAGCTCGGCTCATAGTCATACTACCACGTGCTAGAGCTCGGCTCATAGTCACGTCACTAATCCCTAAACTACTTCTTAGTCTAGGTTCCATCCATTTTGAGTAACCCCTAAGGCTTACCCCAAATGTAACTTGAGTTCATAATAATTTGAATATTTCAATTAAATTCCTCATTCAAGTATAACTTGGCTCTAATATCAAAATATCACTTTTATCCTTCCATGACTTCCTTACATGAGGTAAAAGTATATTTATCACAATTTAGTTTATAGTTTACACAACTATTATACCATTGTATTCATAACACATAATCATACACAATTTATTCATAAATTTGTATATTATGCATTTTTGCTTATAAACAATAATAGTCTCATTTAGGCATTTTTTTATTATAAATAAATCATGCCAAACACATATATTTCATTTAGGTAATCTTATGAAATTAACCCAATAATTATAAGCAATATAGTCGGTCATCCTCACCTTAAGTGAGCTTAAGCGCGTTCTACACTTCCCGGTTGAACTTTGGCGAACTTTGACCAACTCCGGCCAACTTTGACCAACTCCGGCGAAACTCCGGCGAAGCTCAAAGATACTCTAAATCAAGCTCCTAACAAGGTTTTAACATCATAAAACCTTAATCAATACACATAACCTCTAAAAGGTTATTTTCCGGTGAACTTGTCGGTTTGGCTTCTAAATCCATTTTTGGACATAGAACCACCTTCCAACCCCTTGTTCCACATTTATCAACATGTAGAACAATCCTAGGGTTCTTCATAATTTCTGAAATAATAATTTATTCAAGAAAATAGGAGAAAAAGGTAAATGAAGTCATTACCTAGCCTTTCCTCAAGTTTTTGTACACTTTTGTGACTTAAACGTTTTCCTTCTTGTTGGAGCTTCCTTCAACAATGGTGAGATGTTTGAGAGCTTCCTTGTTCTTGGTGGAGGGGTGCTGGCCGAAAATGATTAAGGAGAAGGGGGGTGGGTGTTCTTTTGTCTCAAATGCATGAGTGGTGTGGGAAAGGCCCACCTTGTATTTGTTTGATTCTTTTCCCATCAACTCCCACTCCCTCCATACTCCTCCAGCCGACCAACCCCTTTAATTGAGTTTCCAAATTCGTGGGTTGGCCCCCCACCCATGTGGGAGGTCAACCATTTTTGTCCAGAAGTGTACAATTTGTCCCGAAAGTTGTATTTTTCGGACTGTTTTAATTATATTTTATTTTATCGGGTCAAATAAAATATATTACGTGTTCTCAATCGTCATGACCCTTATAGTGAATATACATTCCCCAACTTTCATTTATAGGTCTCCGAAATCCAATTTCGGGCTATTATCCGTTAAATTACCAATACCGGTAATTGAGCCGCTTTTGACCAATCGGTCCACATTAGGTCATTGCTTTGGACCAAATAAATTATCCCCCTCTATATAAATATTATTTCGACCAAGTTGAATAAAATATACGGTCTCGGGAATATCGGGCGGCCCCGCTCCCAGTGTGGGTCCCGCGCGCGAATTTACTATTCACGCAAAAGAAGTATTAAAAATTCACAACTTCGTATACTCATTAACCATTCCGTAAGGTTCAATACATTATACTCTTAAAAGTAAATACATTTGGGGACGGTGTTACAAATTCAGATCAGCTCAGATCAGAACTTAATAAATTCAGATCAGAAACAATCAGATCAGACGAAGAGAACAGCTTCTAAAACCCCAAAAGCTGAGGGAAAATCAGTTATGTGATCCATAGCTTCATTGACTGCGTCCGAAAGACTCCATGGTTGAAGAAGCTGAAGAGGATCGCGAATTCGACTGAGATACATGTTGAAGACGTTAGAGGGGATCACGAATTCGACGGAGATTCACGGACATAGTTACTGACACACGTTTGTTCGCGATCAGAGGTATGATTAGGTTTTATATATGTATCGATGGAAGGGGAATGATGTGAAGGGGGAGAAATTTGAAGAGTAATAACAGTGTGAGTGACGACTAGTTTGATATAGTAACTAATTGTTTCGAGAACATATGGATTTTAGTGATACATGTAAAGATAGTGTTGATTAAATTTTAAGACAAAACAGTCAATGTACAAGGAAAGTTGTGGTTATGAAAGTAAGGAGAGTAGTGACTGTAGTATCGACCGTGTAAGTAGGAAAAAGAGATGGGGTGTTAATTAGCTAGTAGTTACATTGTGAATATGACTTTGTGAATTTGAACGTGTACATGGCATAGTAACTGTAGTAATTTAGTGTGATAGTCACTGTAGTAGTTCTGTGTGGTAGTAATTATGATTCCAAAAACACATTTGTGATCAAATTCAATAAAGTAGTGTGATTTGGCAGTGACTTTGAGTACTACAATGAGTTTGTGTGCTAGTCACTACAATAGTAAGCAGATGTAATCACTAAATCAGTTGTAGAAGTAATGACTTAGTTAATATGTACATCTAGTCAATAAATTTGTGAGTACAAGTAGTCACTTAGTTATTATGTACACTTAGTAACTGAAGTAGTATGTATTGGTAGTGATGATCTGATCTGTAGGTTTGCATTAGTAATCACTTTGTAGCATTTTAAAGATCTTGTTTTGTGAGTCACTATGTGTTGGTAGTAATTGAATCCATGAGTACACACAATGACACAACTTGTTCAGTGACTATGACATGTGTTTCATTTTTTTTTTGTTCTATTTTTAGTAATGTATTCTTCAACAAAACAGGTATGGAACAGCTTAAGGTGACCGTTCTATTTGACGGAAGGTGGAATACAGAAAAGAGGGTTTTAGCACACTCTAGTCATGGACTTTTGCTTGAAGCTGATGGATCATATAGTAATTTGTTGTTTGGACTACGAGACACTACTACATTTTTTGATCTAATGTAACACTCTTGATGTAACATATTTATAAAAGTGTTACATATTCTATCAGTTGTAACATTTTTCAGGTTTTTTAAAAAATGTTACATTTTATCATTTAAATGTAACACTTTTTAGATTTATGTAACACTTTTAAATATGTAACACTAGAATGTAACACTTTTGACTAAAATGCTTAAAAAGTACTCCGCCTAAATTTTTGCGGGATAACTGGTAGCAGGAAACCCTACCCAGAAGTCCAGAACCCTTTCCTTCAATTTAGAACCCCCTAAATAAATCATTTCCGAACCTTTTCCTTCAATTCTTCTCTATTTCCTCTTCAAAACAGTCTGAAGGAGCGACTCTTCATCTACTATGGCAACGCCGACGGAAAAGTAGAGCAGCAGTGTGGAATTGCCGGTAGGAGACGCAGAGACTATGTCACGGTTGAGTGGATTTGCCGGTAAGTTGCGATGTGATGCGTCGGCTTGGACGTTTTATGCTTATAAGCGGTGTGGATTTGCCTGTAAGGCTGTAATTATCCTATCAATTATCTCAAATCCTAGATTGCTATGATTTGCTCAATAAGTCTTGAAGTTAAGTGTATCCTTGTGGTTTCGTTCTTTCTTCTTCTCGTAAATATGACTCAAGTTACGTTATTGATTATGCCCAGATTATTGGTCAAGGATATAGAGAGCTTTGATGTTTCAGACCTTAAGGACTTTGAAATAGAGAGCTTCGATACACCTTGTTTATGGCACAAACGCACAATCCCGTTCCTTAGAGGTATTTTTTTACTTACTTTTGATAATATTTGCTGCTTATTGTGTGCCTGCAACTTAGCGTTAAGAATTAGTGAGCTAGTTTATGTTTTTTATGAATTTTCTATTATTTGGACTACGATAGTTGATTTTACCAATTTTGTTTCAAACTGAGAGGTAGGTTTATCAATCTTGTGGTAAGTTTTGTAGGTTTCTTCTGTTAAGTTTTTTGGACATAAATGAAAAACATGCTTGTGATTTAAAGGAATTTACTTTAACAGGATAAAACATAATTGTATTAAGTTATTACATACTCCGTAGATAGTATTCTTTGTTACTACATATCTTAATTTTTTGGTTCCCTACACAGATAGTTGTTTTGGAATATATTTCCAAATGAGGAAGTTGTTTATATATCTTTTGGTTCCCTACATATCTTAATTTTTGTTAGCATACCATTCATATTACTTACTGCAGTTCTCACAATTTAATTTTTCCTACTTTGTACCTTCATTTATTTATTCTCTATTTTTGTCCTTAACAAAACAGGGCAATATAATACTGTAGTATCTAGTGATCAGGAAGTATGGGACATATTCATACACTTCATAAACCAATTGTTTCAGCTTCTAACATTGAGTTTAAAAGTGATATATTTGTTATGTTAGTTGTATAATAACTTCAATTTCAAAAGATAGGATAAGAACCTTATATGTTTAATTTGGCAAGTTGAGCTACCCATGAACTAAGTTTAGACATGTCTGGTGTAATCTCATCTTCTATTTGCAGTCATCTAGGAAGGTTTACTAAAAATAATACAAATACTTACTCTTGGGAGTAAAAATGTATCAGTATATAATTTATGGTGTTCTAGAATTCTAGGTAAACAGTAAACCAATAAACTAATCACATTTGGTGTGAAGCTTCTTTTTCAATAAGGCTGGATTTTATTCAAGTCCCTTTGTAAAACGAAATTGAAAAGTTGTCATTGTTATGTGAAGAAAACAGATTTGATATCTAAAAACATGCAGACCTACTCTATAATCTCGGCCGCGACTAAGAAGTCGACAGTGGACGCTAGGTCGGTAGAACACTTCGGGAACAGGTGGCACCGCAGTCGGGTGAGGAGATATCTGACCTCTGAAGACTATGCAACTCCTGAAGCAATCTCAAAGCCATGGTATGGGTTGCCTATGCTGTTGAGAAAATATCCTGAATATTTTGTCATCAATACACATTCCAAGGGATGTGTGGTGTTGGAATTTGTTTCTCTTGTCTCACTCCTCTCTTGACAGATTCTAGCACTACTACATTTAAGGGCTTTTAGTAACGGTCAACTTTGTTACTATTGGTCCAAAAATCCGTTACAATATACTAAATGTAACAGTTTTGTGCCGTTACATTCGCTGGCGTTGCCTTTTCTCTATTGTAACGCTATGTAATGACTTTTAGAACCAATTGTAACGCTCTTCTCAACCAACTTAAAGTGTTACCACAATTGTTACTATAGATTAACTACAACTGTAACGGTCTTTAATGTAAACAAATGTAACACCTGAGAAAATTAGGTAACAAATGTCACATTTAATTATTAAATAATTATTATTATATATATAACTAAGCAGAATAGAGGGTGTCATATTGTCAAGTTTTATTCAAAATGAGAGGACATTATACAACAAAAATAGGGGGGGACATGTACCTTACCCCTAAAACGAAAAAACAAAAACAAAAAAAGCAGTATCTTAAGTGTACGTTTGAGAGTAAACTAGCAATACTATAAATACACTAAAGCTATTAATATAAGAACCGGAGTTTGCTAAAGAATGAGCGGTGCACATAGTTCGCCTCCCTAAGACAATGCTTGATAGATAACCTTCCAAAACAATGATCCAACCTCAGAATGTCTTCAATCTCGAATCACAGCTTACCAGGAGACTCAAATTCAACTTACAATTGAGTGTGTTTGGCATTAACATCCCATCAAGTAGCCTGGAGATTTGGCATGCCATGCGTCTTTCATTATTTTGTTCAATTTCATCCTTCTCATGACTATCTTTTCCTATAAAACAAAACATCAAATTATTAGCACACATAGAATTAGATAAAAGGGGAAATCAAATAATGGTTAGAAATGTCCCTATGATAGATGATCATCAACAACATCTCTACTCGTGGGTGGTATATTATTGTTTGGATAACCATTAAAACCAATATAAGAAAGGATTTGACAACATACTGCCTCACCTAACAAAATACATGAGTCGTCCACTACATCAAAATATAAACAAACTAACCAACAACCACTCACAAATGCAGTCATATATAAAGTACATGGCTCACCCACAAGAACACAACCTAAGCAAACTAACCATCAATCCCACGCATACATACAGCCATATAAATTCAAAAAACTCCGGTAAAACGTTGCCTCACCCAAGACCAAAGTTGATAAAATCACGATTTGAATCATAAAATCGTATGATTTTTACGATTCGAAATCATCCAACCAATTCAAATCGTCTACAAAATCAAATTTGAACAAAACCGGAAAAAATCGTAATTATATCATACTAAATCGCTTAAAATTGATGTAGTAATTAACAAACTTTACGAACTACTTTTTTTTTGGTCCATTATCTTTCTTATTATTAAGAGATTTAAATTTAATAACATAAAAATGTACAAACTAAAAAATACTCCGTAAATTATTCAACATAATAATGATATATTGTGACTTTACTATCTAAATTTTTAATATATATTTCTATTCTTATTTTTTTTTAAAAATCTTACGATTCACGATTCGATTTTACGATTCAATTTTTAAATCTGCATATTGATTCAATGCAAAAAAAAAACGATTTTAACAACCTTGCCTAAGACCTTATAAGTAGTTTTAACCCAAACACCAAACCTGATTGTAATTTCAGAAAGTAAATATAATGTAAGGTTTAATTAACCTAAGAAGCTAAATTATCATACCTCTGCAATTAAATGTGAAATCATCCTAGATTAATATAGACTGCAGTTCCACTCTTTTGGTATTTATGATAAGCAACGGTGCGGGCATATTCCAAAATCTGAAACATTCATTAGTAAAAAAACTGCCGGCATTATAACACTTACGTATGTATACACATGTAGCTAGGATGTATTATACACATATGAAGGTAACTAGCTGAAATTCACCTATTTAATTAATTACTTACAAAATTGAAACAACTGCAAGATCCACCAAGTTCGAAATCCATAACTGCAAATGATCCATTACAACCCAAGCAAATTAAGTTGTACAAAATCATTCAAAGAAGTACCATCAAGTTCAAAACAATTCCAATAGAACCAAACTAGCTATATATGTTGAATGCTCTTTGGCAGAGAGATATGTTTGATAAGTAGCACTAAAAGATGCAAATTCTGAACAAGGAAAGCACACCCAAACAACACATATAAAAAAAACTTACTCAAGGAACACTAGCAAAGTAAATCGGAGAACACAAATGCATTTATCATACACTTCAATAAACATTTTGTCAAAGAGTTAGCGCATATATAGCACTCTAAATGCGAAGCCCGGAAAAGGCGGAGGCGGGGGAAAGTGGCAGCTAAGCTCTTCCTTTCGGTGAAGGGAGGAAAGCAGAGGTTTTTGGAGGCTCATGGGCTAGAGCAATGGTGGTCTGACAATCTGGAGCTTCAAATGGCACTGAATAGTAGCATGCTTATAAGCCAACAGCTTAAATCCTTGTATAAACTCCCACCCACTACTGCCTCCACCACACAAACAACAGTTAAGCATAAGCTTAAGAGTTAGCATAACTACGTATTCTGATGTTCAATTCACAATATTAAATCATTGTTGAATTTATCTCCTGTCTGCTCACATTTTTTCAAAAAAAAAAAATAACACTTTGAATACATGAAAGAATACACAAGGTTACTTTAGATACAATCTATCAAACACTTTATCAATCACTCAACACACACTTTATCTATACATGAACAAATACATGAAGTACTTTATATATATAATCTTTGAAACATTTTATCGAACACTTTACCTACAGTCATATATATTTATAAAGGAACACAAATTGAATGTGAAAAAACATTTTGATACAAAATACTTTGTAGTTGTACTTGATAGTAAAACAGAGTGCATAATGCATAGTTAAAACTATGTTCGGGACTACTTCAAATACTCCTGAAGCGAATGATGGAGAGGGCAAAAGACAAAAGTATAGTATGTCTCAGATTAATTGGGGCATCGGGCATACACTCTTAAATTAAATAGCAAGAGAGGAAGAAGAAAGAAAAAGCTCAATCTCAAAAACCTAATTCTGGGTTATCAAATCAAAATCTTAAACATAAACCTAATTTTCGAAAATTTATTTTGTAAATACAACATAAAGTACTGAAGGAGTTCAGTCACATAAAATAGGTGGAAAAATAGCAGATGAAGAAATCGCAGGAATAAATCTACTAGAAAGAAAGGGATTCTCCTGAAAATGAGGAATACAGGAAGCTATTAATTAAAAGAGGAAGATTTTACAAAGAAAAGAGGGAGATTTTGCTCGTTACGGTGTGCGGGGATGTGTGTGCAGACTCGGCTTAGAAGTCTTCCCAAGAGATGTCGATTTGTGCAGAGAAGTTTCTAGGCTAGTTTGGGCGCAACAGAGATATTTTAGTAAGGTTGAGTAGAGAAGGTAGAGAAAATGATGAGGCGGTCGAAAGAATTATTTTGCAGCTGAAATCTTCAATTAAGGTTTTCGTCCATCCCGCTTTTTTGAAATTTTAATGAAAATATGGCGCTCATTTTTGGAGCTTTACGGGCGTTACATTAGGGTCTACAAAAAGTAACAACGACCAATCAAATGTAACTGTTTATTGAATTGTATATTACCGTTACAATAGCACTAGTGTAAATGTAACCATTTTGATATAGATGTAACACCACATTGAAAACTATTACATTAGACACGTTTTTTGTAACACTTTAGACAAATGTTACAATTTTTTTGTTACATTAGACCCGAAAATGTAGTAGTGTAGGGTAAATGTTTTAGAACTCTGTAGTTGTATTCTTGGGTGACTACTATATATGGTTTAGTTCAAATTACGGTAAAAACAGGATTTTTAAGATATTTTTTTGCTTTGTTTGCAGGTGATTGCGTTGGTTAACTAGTTAGTATCAAAGATATAGTTTTGCTGGCATTTCAAGATTCCAACCTTGTGGACTTTGGTTAGTTCTTTCTTTCTTGTCAGTTAAGTACATCTGATAGTGAGAATTGAGATGTTACTACTGGAATAGTTCCATGTCCTTGTGATTATATTTGTGGTATGCACTTTTATACTGTTTGTGAAAATATGGAAAGGTTTTGGTGACTTAAAGAAAAAATATTCAGATGGCAAAGGAACAGTTAGCAAGTTTTCATTATATGTTGTGAAATGTGGAAAGGCTGCTTAAGGTATTATTTGACTATTTTTTGTCTTTTGAATCACCAATATGTTGTGATTAAAAGGTTGGTCTCGTAGTATTGGTCATTATATGTGTTGTGTTATGGTACAGTTAGCAAGTTTTCATATTCTAGTTAGGGTTGTTTGGAATTTGCAGGATATTGAAAAATTGGAATCAAATGAATGAGGCCTTTGCACAACAATGAGCATTATGAAAATGTGGCTTGGAGGTTTTGAGATGTACTTTGCCAGGATATGTTTGGGAGCAAAGCTGCTTACACCCAGAATTATTTTTCTTTAAGCCTTTTGTACTTCTTATAGTTATCACCATGAAGACTAGTTTTTATAGTACGGGAGTATGACAGTACCATTGTTGGATTTTGAATTATATTTATGAAATTCCTTGTTATTTGGTGATTAATATGTCATTTTATACTTAGATATAATGTGGTATGTATCTTATTTCTGAAATCAGCCTGTTGCAAGCATAAATAAATAAATAAATAAATAAATAAATATATGAATATGTCTAATGTAACACTATTAATAACAAATGTAATAGTGAATATTTAACGTAACAATATTTCATAAATGTAACAAAGTATGTAACACTTTATATTAAAGTAACACATATATCCAAATGTAACATCTGATTCAAATGTAACGCTTTTTCCTTCAAATGCAACACTTTTATGTTGTGGATGTGTAGTGTTACATTAGGGTTTATAAAGTGTTACAATAGATCAAATGCAACACAAGCAAATGTAACAGGTAAAAAGTGTTACATTTTTCTTAAATGTAACACTTTTTGATACTATTGTAAT